TTAGGTTTCATTCTGAAAAACCTTGGCGTTTCTTCGTTTCCAAATATTCTAAAGGATCCCCAAAATAACTGAGGATCTGATTTTATTTGTCAGAGTTCCATCCCAAATCTGGGTAATGGAGGCAGGACTGACCATCATTCATACGTAGTGTGAAATCAGTAGCCAACTTCCAAAAAAGCTTCCAATCAAGTGACCAAACTTGCATCTTGTATTGGCTGCATATACTATAGGATCACCTCAAAAGAAAAAGCTGCGCGCCTATAGGAAAACAGAGAGGTTGCATACTTGCATTTGCATATATGCTCCAGCTACCCTTTATTATCCCGAAATAGGAAAACGGAAAGGTTGGATGCATCTTGGATTAACAAATGTGGATGTAGACATTGTTGCATCTAGTCATATATATACTCTTTTTTGACGCAGCCATTATTGGTCATTACCAGATGATGCAAAGCAAACCTGTTACATGTCTGGGTCCGAACCAAAGACACGTCCCGTCGTTTCCACATGAGCAAAAGCTGGTTTCAGAAATGCCATGTGGCCCTGCCGGAATTGCACCCCGTCTTTATATATGCAGGACCATTTGCAACTGAATCTCGCGGACGCCATTTGGTCGGGTGCGATACGCGGCCCTCAAATCTCAATCAATCACGCTTTTACAACGGAATGAAACTGAAGATCATGTGTGCTACTCCTGTTGATGGGTATGGCTGATTGCATCATGAACAGCAAACAAATATTGGTTACCGTTACAGATAGATGTTTCCATCACGGTGTGTTGATCTGCTGCACTCAAACAGCAAGAATCGATCTATACGCTGCCTCATGCTGTTGCGTATAAGCCGGGAAAGTGTAGGGGGTAGGCCAATACGGAGAAAGTGAAAGCAAGATGCTACGGGACAAATGGTTTCAGCTGAAAAATGAAAAGGCCCAAGCTGACATTTCCATAGTGTTCGGCATCCAAAACGGGTAGCTAGGTCCCTATCTGATTGCCTAGAGCACTCGCTTGTTTGATCGTGCCTCACGCCTCCGTTAAATATACAATATTTCCATTCTACTAGATTGCAAAGTTTCATTTTCATTTTGTCTGGACAGCCTAGCTATGTATAGCTAGCTAATGTGTCATTCTGCAGTCCAACAGCTAGATAGTAGTGCGTTTGGCTGTTGTAGTAATCGGTACTTGTTGGGTTGGATCCAGAATCATGTCCTCTTAATGCGTCAATGAAATGACTAAAGCGTCTGTCATTGGGCATTACTAAACAAATGTTAAAATTGCTACTAAACAAATAATATAAGGTTTTTGGGTTTGCAGGAGTTCAAATCAAGGAGAATACCATGCATGCATGGTATGTTGATCCCTACAAAAACTTTAAAAGATTGAGGATTTGATAATTTATGTTATTTGACTGCATCATAGCTAGGAAAACACGTGAATATTCGGAAAGACTAGGCGCATGCATGAATGCCGTTGTTGTTACTGAAACTCATGCAGAAGCTTATCTCGGTCCTGACGTGCTAGCAGACCCGTACAGTAGGTCCCTCCCCGTGCTACTTACTAGTTGGTGTGGACTGTGGAGTGGTTTGGGTGTCCCGCCATGTCCGGGAAATGCTAGCTTCGGAGTTTGAACAATGGTTGCTTGTTTGGCTTAGTTATTAAGCACTGTCCCGTACTAGCAATAAGCCAATGAGCCGTTACTGATCGACGTGGGCCACACCAGCTAGCCATGGATCATGTACATGCTTGATGCCTTGATGGTGCTTCCTGACTCCTGTCGATTTGCTTTGCCAAAGCGAGGAGGTCTAGGTGCGCACCATTTGATTGCTAAAGGGCAACAAGGAGTGGACACGCAGCCTTTTGCCAAACAGGGGATCAAAATCATCAGGTCGAGCATTCACCTACACTAGCGCCACGATAGGCATTTGCATTGTATGGACGGAAATTTCACAATCATCGTATTGGCCACCTCGAAGCCTTAAGATTCCCCTGATGGCTCTCGTGATCACAAACATATCACTCAAGAGTGAAAACCCATGGCACACAAAACTAGTACAAACCATACATTTGTGTTCCAGTTAGGACCTGTTTGGTTCCAATAAGTCACCTGACTTATAAGTCAGGTGACTTAAAACTAGTGACTTATAAGTCATGCCTGTTTGGTTGTCACCTGACTTATAAGTCACATGGGCACACATTCCCATCTTGTTTTTTTATGTAAAGGTGGTGGGACCCATGTAAAAGGGGGTGACTTATAAGTTTTAAGTTGGGGTGGAGCAACTTATGACTTATAAGTTAGGGTGACTTATAAGTTAGGTTTGTTTGACAAAATAAGTCATTTTTTGCACTTTTCGACTTATAAATTGATGACTTATTTGGAACCAAACAGGGCCTTATTTGCTGCCAATACGGCTCGAAGTGTGGTACCACAGAAGAGCAATACCATGAAACCGGGCGAAGTACACGAACGTCTTTCCATGAAACAATTTTGCTAGCTCCGATCGATACGACTGCATAGTTTTATTAGGGAAAGATAGGTGTTAACGCTGCTAGGCGATTACTATTTCATGTATGTTCCTTGTATGCCGGGAAAGTGTAGGGGGTTGGCCAATCGAGAGAAAGTGAAAGCAAGATGCTACGGGACAAAATGTTCAGCTCAAAAAAGAAAAAAAGCCCCAAGCTGACATGCATCTCCGTAGTGTGTGTTCAGCGTCCAGAATACTAGCTAAGCTAGATTAGGTTCCCTATCTGATTGGCTAGAGCACTCACTTAATAATCTTGCCTCGCACCCTTTTAGAGTAGTGCTAAATAGGAGAGAAGGTGCTAGATTGCAAAGTTCCATTTTCGTTTCATCTGGATACTGGATAGCCTAGCTAGCTAGCCGATGTGTCATCCTGTGATTCTTCAGATAGATAGTGTGTTTGCCAGTTGTAGTAATCGGTATTTGTTTGACTCAGATTCGTGTGCTCCTAATGCATTGACGAAATGACTAGAAGTGACTATCCATGAGGCACCATTGTACTCATTGGAGTGGTATTAGGTCTTACTATTTGGTCACGGTTTTGGATAGACGGGAAGAATATGCATGATGTCTTGGTATACTGAATCCTACTGGAATTAAGAACATATGAATATGTGATATATGGAATATCCTGAAAGACAAAGTGTACGCCCTTGTTGTCATTGGAACTCATGGAAATTTTCCCTGAAACTTCATGCAAGACCATTGAACTTTTCTCGAAAGTTTCCTACAAACCAAACAGGTTTCAGAAGAAAAAGGAAATCTAAGGAGTAGGATATTGCAGATTAGTACGAAATCCATTCGACCGACAGAGAGCCCTGGTGCAAGCGATTTATTTCACCAGTACAGACTAATATCCGAAGATGTCCTGAACGTGCATCATCGGATCAAACATATGTGCATGCCATGCAGTAGAAACTCAACCATGCATGCATAGGCAACTAGTGGACGCGCATCTTTTTACCTCTGCATTGCATCAGTCTCAGGGAGCGGGGTCCTAGAACCTCGTCCATCTCATCGCTTTTGTGTTCGTGATGTGGTCACTCGTCCACTCACTACTCCATGCCTCTGCCTGGCAAGATCTGCTGGCCACTCGCAGCAGGCTAGCTAGCTGCGTGTGCAGCGCGCCCCCCGGCTTCTTCGGGAAAAATTCGGGCGACCCCTTTCGTGTTCCCGCAGGCCCGGTCTTCATCGGTGCTTTGCTTGGGAGACTAGCCAAGGCCACGCCTAGGTTAGCATGGTCCAGCGAGGGGCGGCCGCTGCGTGATTGCACATTTGCATGCATTGCCTCCGCCATACCCTGTCAATCGCAGCATGACACGGCACACCAGCCCCCATGTACATTAAAAGGCATCAGGGGAAGGATCCCGCGAGAGCAGCTAGCAAGTCGGGGCCTGATCTTTATCCTATAGGAGTAGTTCGTGTGGAGTGGTTTGGGTGTCCCGCTATGTCCGGAAAATGCCTTTTAGTTTGCACATTTGGCTGTCTGTTTGGGTTAGCCATGGACAGCTGTCCGGTAACGAGGTTAACCATAGTAATATCATTTTTTGCACATTCTCCTGTTTGACACGAAAAATAATAAAAACAACGATGGTTGTCATGTTATTATCTCTCTACGCGCCAGGGGAAATAAACATGCGGGCGTGCCAGTGTACTAAGTACACAAATAAAATTAGGGAAACTTGTATTTTATTAATCTCTCATCGGAGAAATAAATTACATGATCCCTTTACATAAGCGCTCAATG